AAAACATTGCTCACTGCTGCCGTTCTTGCCATACAAATTGCTGCTGAACACTCACTGTACTGTAGACAGTGACCACTGGCAAAACACCGTGCATTAAGCTACGGACCCAAATCCACATCCAAAAGAACAAGGGACAAAGCCTAGATCACAACTGGACTGCTCTAGGACTAGCCGGCTAGCCCCATCTCTCAAGTTCAAGGTTGCGCGCCCATCACCAAGAGCTGAAAACAAAACCTGCAACTCTGCAAACAGATAATAAGCCAAATTTTTCGCTGAAATTTGACTTATGCTGATGCTTATACTGATTTGTTGTGTCAAGGGCGTTGAACCCTCGAGTAGCTGGACCTCGGCTACGTAGGTCGTAGCCTCGGTCCGTCTTCTCCGGCGAGGTTAATCCTCTGCCGCATGCTTGGTTGAAGAGAGAAGGAAGATTAGATTGGTAATATTCTTCTTATCCTTCCATACGTCTGTTACATGGATATATATATATGGCCCTTGCCTCAACCAACCGGAGCAACATGCTCCTTTAATTTAGGAACTAATAATAGAAAGCTATCTCTAATTTCCCTCTGAGCCACTAACGGTGATCGCGCCCAGCGCGTCCCCGTGCGCGCCTCCCGCGCGTACTACGCGCTCCACGTCGCGGCGCACGTCACGGGCTCGGCGGCGCCTGGAATACGTGCGCCCGACCATGACATGTTGTGAGAGAAAAATAATGTTCTTTTATTAAAAAATACTGCTGAAATAGTTCAAGCGAACAGGACAAGGTCAAACATCAAAACACCCATAGTAAGTCTCCAAACTGAAATCGTAAACCGTCAACATGATCAGGCAATATTTTAAGTTAGCATCAGTCCCAGCTGCTTGCCCCTTTCCTTATTTCAAAGTAAACCAATACAACACATGCGTATGAGAGCCTGGTCTGGAGAAAATTGTGAACCAGGATCGACTTCAACCTCCAAACCCCATCACAAAGAAATGCTTGAGCTAAGCCAGTAGAACAAAGCCAGTGCATTTCTGGTTTCATTTATATGATAAAGTACGGTTCAGCAATGTACATGGCAATGCCAGGACGCATTGCTTGTAAATACTAAACAGAGCTAAAAAGGTAGATAGCATGTTGCAGAAACTTCCCATTCATGTCCAACCATGGCACCATCACTGCTACTGGTTACACTATTCTTACAGACTACTAAGTTAGGATAACCTTGTATAATAATACCACTATATTAGGTCCACATGACAAAACACTGGTGCAATCTGATCAGCACTTTTGCATGATACTAGCACACGATCAACCGCTAACAAAATATCTGAGAGGCTGCTCCGCCATGGCATGCTTCATCTGCAGAGCTTCGTCCCTGACTGAGCTCCATCGAGATCCATGCTCTCCCTGGTGTCCTTCCTTTTATCGGGGTTTGCTATCAACCCAACAAGCTGTTTTCCTCCCTGCAGCACAATACCATAAGTTATGCGATGCCGAGGTGCTTTAAAAAAATCACAATGAAGCTTCATAGCAGTAAGCTAGAAAAAAGTTCCATAGATTGGATGGACCATAAGGCTTTCTTTCTAACAATATTACAAGTAGTTCTGCAGCAAATTCCAAGCAATGAAAATGTATGTTGTGTCAGCAAATCAAGAATCTCCTAAATCAGGAATGGCCAAAGATGTTTTCAGATTTAGTTGCACCTTCAGTATATTGACCAATTGTCATTGTCTCAACGTGAAGGGCGGGCCTGGTGCAAGCGGTAGAGTCTTACTGCCTGTGACCGGAAGGTCCCGGGTTCGAGTCGCGGTCTCCTCGCATTGCACAGGCGAGGGTAAGGCTTGCCACTGACACCCTTCCCCAGACCCCGCACAGAGCGGGAGCTCTCTGCACTGGGTACGCCCTTTTTTTTGTCATTGTCTCAACGTGAGCCAAATTGCTCCCGTTGTCCCAAAAGACCCCAGTTGTCATAAATAGGTATAACAGATTATTCAGACTTCAGAGCACAAAAAAGTGCTGAGAGCAATTCAGGACAAGTGTTGGACAGCAGATCGGATAGTAGCTCGCGGCTTGCCGGAGGCCGGAGCTCGACTGCACGCACCTCGGTCGTTGGGGAGTTCGAGCTGTGAGCACATCTTCTTGACTGCAAACTGCACCAAGCACCATCCACTCTCTCCACGTGCTACGCTGATCTACTGTTTCTTTTTCTCAAATCTCAATCCTTTTAGCTAGAAGTAGTAGTAGTGTAGTACTACTTGGATTCGTCACTCGCTAGTAGATTGGATAGTGGATACCAGAGATCTGTTAGTAGAAGCACTACTCCTATTGATTAGTACAAGTACTACTGCTAGTCTGCTACTTGATTAGTTAGTAGAAATTAATACGTACCAGATCTATTAGTAGAAATTGTAAACTTATACTTAGATTCTTTAGTACCTAAAAGTACTACTGCTACTTGATTAGCTAATAGAAATGTGGCTAGTACTTTAATCATTAGAAGCACACAAAAGCAATGAAGCTAGATCTGTGTGTTTTGGTGTTTCCTGTCTTGACTGTGCTCCTTTCTTTGCACAGCGATGGTGGTCACAAGGTCAGCAAGCTCTTCACAAGTTGCGCCAGCTTCTGGTGCACCATCTTCTGATACACCTCCTAGTGACAACCAACTCCAGGGAGGTGTCACAGCTCAACCTGAGTGCTATTGATTCACAAACTGATGTTATTGATTCAGAGGTGGGGCAGCAGCAGCAAAAAGGAGAAAGCTTAAATCTATTGTTTGGAATGAGTTTAAAAGGTTGGAAGTAGGTGGCAAATGGAAGGCAGAATGCATGTGGTGTCATGCAATTGTAATACTGCTACTTTATTTGCTTGCCTAAATGCCTGGACATGCAGTTGGAATATTGGATTGGTGCCTTAGTGCCTTCTGCCTTGCAGCCATGCTGTGCTGCCAGGTGGATCACTAAGGCTAATCTAGTTGCAGGTTTCTATTTAATTGTGGTTTCTTATTGTAAAAAGTTACATTCTGTCAGTTAGGACTGTGGCTAAATACCTAATCAAATAGGGTGTTTAGCCTCCACGGGCCCCCGTTGGGGTTCAGGGATCCAACGGGGAACGGGACGGGGCAAGTTTTGTCCCTGTTTAGCTTATCGGGGACGGGGCAAGGATTCGAGTTCGGGGATCGGGGCGGGGCCGGGGGTTGTTAGAACGTTAATCATGTTTGGCTTGTAGCTCTTGCATGAACAAATGGTCTGAGCAGAAACATAATGTGCTAAATCACCTCTGACTTATTGCCTGGTATGATAAACTGATGTAGGATTGATGCAACCTGTTTTATCCACTTTTTCATATGCTGTTTCTGTACGGTCTCCAACTATGTTAATCAAGATCACTAAAATTTGGTAACTATAACTATGCTATGTGTAACCTGTAGGACCTTGATAATGTGATAGCTTGGCTGTATGTGAGCAACAGCGGCCCTAGTACTTTTGTAATGCTAAGCAAAATTTGTTCTTGATTTTGTGCATACAACAAGCATACACGGCAACTTGTAAATTATATAGAATGATCATTACCACACAAGGCCACAGGGTGTCTAGGGAGATTGGCTCAACCTCATCTGAGACGCTATTTGTCTTCAACATGCGCATGTTTAAACAATGAGAGTTAAAGCAATTAAGTCTAAGGTCATGTTCTTTGGACATGCACTACTCATCCCAGCAAGCTACTTTAAACACCAGTAGAGTGTTTGTTAATTATCTAACATTTCATATGCAAAGAGCATGCCAGGAGGTCTAAACATACACAACCATACATGAGTACAAATATAACACAAGTCACTACGACATTCGGAAATTAACAAGCGAGGGCAACAGTAGCACAACCAACATAGATTATATAGTTCGATAACAAAAACAACAGCACTTTTCCATTCACTTCATAATTATTTTATTGCTCAAGTAGATGGAAACCAAGAAAGTTTGGTTATTAAAGCTAAGGAACACATACAACTTCTATGCAGGAAACACACTAATGTGAAGCTATACACGCAGCTAAAATCATGCAATTGCAAGATCTGAAATCGTAGGACAGAAACAGTACAGTCAATTAGGAAAAACATAACGGGAGCTATAGACCATGAAAAACTGTGTTCTTTTAACATTTTAGAAAGTTCATGAAATTGTCTATAACTTCATGGACAGAAACTGACAGGAAACTTCACAAATTTATAACTGGAGTTCTAGCCAACCAAAAATATTGTTCTTTAACAATTTGGAAAGCTCAAGAAAAACACTACAACTTCCTAGTTATCAACAGGAGCTAGTTTTGAAGTCAACATGGTCGAAATACACAAAAGTCCAGAGCTGTACAGCACACAGTCAAACCTGACAGCGAAAATTCAAAAATCTATATCTCCCAAACCTAATGGCCTAAAATCAGGAAATTTTAGGACAGCAGAGATACTTAAATCCTCTCCAACTTTTGTATTATCAAGATTCACAGAAAGGGGTCATTTAAAACACGAAACATTCCTCCCTAACAAAACTATACAATCTGCAGTTTTCAGCACACATTGCAAAATGATTCGTGCATCCCTTTACTTGTCCCCAAACAAAGCAGCACCTATTCAACTTATTTGCACAACCAAAACCACTCCTATCCACACAAGTTAGTCATGGTCTCTAGCAAGCATGAAGAATTAGTTTTGTTCATCAGCAGATAGGTTCAGATGGAGCAATTATCTCCAAAAATCTTGGACTTCACATCAAATGGCCAATTATCAGTATGAACCTGTCAACTCCAAGTGTAAACCCCTAAATTCCCCTGAACAAACATGTGCAGAAAGACCTCAACTCACTTGTGTGGTGTTGCTAACACGATCTCCTTCACCTGTCCAAGATGCACCCAATGTTGTGGCTAGGGATGCTTTGCCCTCACCATCGTCTTCCACACCTGCAGAAAGTGTGCATGATTTGAGTCATGTAAGTTAGCATTCACCTAAACTGTAGATAACGATAGTTCATGTTTGAGGCTTGCCATTGTTGAGGTCCGGAATTGATCTACAATTCTTTAGCCTTTCCAGTTCATGCTTGAGGTTTGCAATGCTCCTCTCCATTTCTGTAAACTCCTTGAGAAGCTTCGAAGAATTTGAATCACATGTTTCAAACATCTGGCGCTGATAATGCATTTGGCGCATCCAAGTGAGATTCTGCCCACCAGTTATACCAAGATTCTCCAAATACGAGTCAACTCCTTTCCCACGTGTTACCATATTCCTATGGTCCTGAAATTTGGCTAAAGACTTCTTAAGTAACTTACGGTAATGTTGAACACTGCGGCACAACTGATCCTTGTCCGCTTCGAATTTTTGCATTACAACTCTCCTAGCTAAAAGCTCCTGTTGTATACCCTTGACAGTAGCTTCAATTTGTTTATCTTTTTCCTTCACCATATCCTTAATGCACTCCACCTCATGTTGAGTGTCCCTGCAAGTCTGTTCCTTATCCAGGTATTTACTGTTCATGTCAGACACATAACCTTGGATTTGTTGCATGAGGGCTTGGAAATGCGAGTTTTGGGTGTCCCTGCACTCCACCTCCTGCGGTTGAGGAAAAAAACACATGTTTTGGCTGCCAAAAATTGGCATTTCCTCTAAGTCCCCAATGTTTTGGGTGCCCAGAAAAACCAAAGAGGCTTCTTCTTCGTCTTCCAACTGGCACTGCTGCAATACCTGATCTTTGAACCGCTTCCCAAGCGGTAAGCTCTCCGCGAAAAGCTCCGGCCTTTGGCACACCATCAGATGGAGGAGGTACGGCGCGTACCGCCATGGCGTCCCAGCTACCACCTCCCTCTTCACCACTGCCCAAATCAAGCCGCCCCAGTCCACCTCGTATGCCTTGCCTTCCTCCACCAACCGCAGCGCGGCAGCGACCTCCATCGGCACCGCAACGCCGCTCCCTCCCCATCCCAGCAGCACGCGATCGCAGACAATCCCCTTCACGGCTCCGATCGCCTCCGCCGTGGAGAACAAGGCCGCGTCCAACCCCGCCGGGAGGCCAACCGGGCCCATCGGCAGCCCGAGGGCGCCCGCGAAGTCGGCGAGGGAGGCGGAGACAGCGCCGCCGCAGACGGAGACCATAATGCGGCCTGAAGCGTCGTCGTAGGCGGCGGAGAGCCCAAGCTCGTCGGGCGGGTGGTCGGGGAGGTAGAGCTGCGCGAACTCCCCAAGCCCCACGAAATCGAGCACCGCCGCGTCGCGGGGGTCGGCGCCGCCGGCGCCGCGCTTCAGATGCCGCATCGGATGCTGTTTGGTGCTAGGGTTGGGTTGGGAGGCCGAGGAAGATTGGGGTTTTGAGCTGCCGGAGTGGGGTTTTTTGCGCAAAGAGGTTAGAGGAGACTAGAGACGCAGGTGATTGATTTGAACAAGAGATTGGGGAGTTGGAAGGGAAGGGGCGCCACTCGGTTTCCTACTTTCCCGGCTCCTGAAACTGGCTTGTCTCACTGAAAATGGGCCCCGTAACTTCTAGGTCCCACCGGTCAGTGGAAATAGTATTCTAAAGCAGCGTGCGTCTTCTGAGTTTAGCATCGAGGGATACTGGCTCGGAGTCTTTTCTCCGCTCTGACACGTAGTACTAAAAAAAAGAATGCAACTGCGGTTACATGCCAGTACAGTGAGTTCACATTTCATTAAATTTTTAGCGAATATTATTTATATTTATAGCTCTAAAATAATTTATTATAAAAATATATTTCATATTTAATTTAATAATATTTATTTAATATCATAAATATAGATACCTTTTTATTTATAATTAATCAAACTTAGTATACTAAACCATGATATTGTAATAGAATTACATTCTTTCCTATACGAAAGGAGTAGACCTAAGTAGGGATAGTACCCAGGTGTCAGTGATCTACGAGGTGTAACGGGTCCGTGTCTCTCATGGAAAAGTTTATCTGTAGTACGAACACGGGAACTAATTTACTGCATCTTTATTTGACTTGAGATACCGCAAGCTACTCTCGTAAAAAAATATCATTCTCGCTTTTCAAAAAGATCAACATTCTAACTTTGCCAAGTGAGAATAGTGCCTAGCAGTTGGTGAGTCTATGAGGTGTAACGAGTCCGTGCCTCTAATGAATTTTTTTCCTATAGCACGAACACATGAACACGAACCACAATGATCCCCAAGTGCCACTAGATGCTCAAACACAATGCAAATGCACTTGAATCACTCCCAATCTCACTTTGGATGATCAAATCACAAGCTAGATGAGTGAGAGGTGTGGGAGTATGCTCACAAGGTGTATCAACAAGTTAGAGAGCCAAGAGAGTGAGCAAGAGCCAGCCACCACGCTTTTATAGAGACCCAACAACTCAACTAGCCGTTATACCCCTTCATTGGGCTTGCTGCGAACTGACCGGACATGTCCGGTGTGGCGACCGGATGCGTCCGGTCGTTGCAAAGCAGCCACATGTCTCGTTTAAATAAGTATAGCCGTTGGCGCCCAACGGCTCTTTCTGCGCATGCTATCAGACACGATCGGACGTGACGCTAGGAAACGATCGGACACTTGTTGGGCAGCGTCAAGTCAACTCCAGAGAACTCCTAGAGCCGACCTGGAGTGACCGGACGCGTCCCCCGTGTCAGGTCCTCACAACCGCTTGGTTCGCCTCCTCTGACCGGACACGACGCTCAGCGTCATGTCACGTGTTCCACAGAGCATCCAATCAATTCTGTGATAGCTTCTCACATCGGGATCAAATACCGACGCGTCCGGTCTCAATTCCGGACATGTCCGGTCTCATCTAAAAACCGTCCGCCGAGACAAATACCGAACGCGTCCGGTCCTTGTGTCGGATGCGTCCGGTCTCCTCGAGACCAACACTTTCAACATGTTTCTCAACACTCTTGTTTCTATGTGCCAACACCAAAGTGTCTCACCACTTGTGCACGTGTGTTAGCATTTTTCACAAGCATTTTCAAGGGTTAATTGTTAGCACACTAGGTCCTAATGCATATGCATGGAATTCAATCACATAGTGGCACTCGATAAACCGTTTAGCCAAGGATTTCCCCTTTTTATAGTACGGCTATCGATCCTAAGTCACTCACACCCTCTATCGTGTCTTGAGTGCAAAACAAAAACCTATCTTATACCTTTGCCTTTATCTTTTGTTTTTGTTTTCTCTTTCTTCTTTTCTAAGTTGAGCTTGATCATCATCAACACATGTCCATCTTCATCTCCATGGACCTCATCTTGTTCTATCACTTGGATTGGACCACCTTTTCTAATTCACACACTTAGATCAAAGGTTAGTCCTAGGTTTCATCAATTATCTAAAACCAAACTAGTGCTTTCAATCTCTCCCTTTTTGGTAATTGATGACAACCTATTTACAAAGATATTCAATGAAATCTTTTCAGACTCATGTTGCTTGCCCAAGCATATTACCATGTGTAAAGATTATGGACAAGTTTCATCAACTCAAATTGGTAGTATTAGCTCCCCCCTATATATGTGTTAAGAGTTTGAATTTTAAAGCTTGTACATATGCAAGGATTAGAAGTGTGGGAGAGTAATAGCAACCAAATGATGCTAAGGTGTAAAGAATGAACCTTTGAAGCGTGATACCAATCAGAGTTGCCAATATACATCATCCTTAGCACCATTAGTAACTAGACATTCACAAAAACTAGAAAACCATATGAGATCAACATTATACGAAAGGGTCTAGTTTTTACATGATAAGCACAAGTCTAGTTACTCTTCCTATGCATGCTAGTGCTTCATTCATCATTCAAGTTACTACTAGCATACACCACATAAGCATGGATATGAAATTTAAAACTTGTGCCATGCAAGCAAACATGTGTGATGCACATACAAATACAACATACAAGTTTATGAGCTTGCTCCCCCTACTTGTGTGCTTCAAGTTTTAATTGATCCCCTTCATTTCTTCTATCTTATCTGTGTTACTTCTCCCTCTTTTGCAATATCTTTGGGTATTTCTCTCCCCCTTTGTCATCGATGACCACAAAAGGTGAGTTCAAATTTTAGATAGGTTATGTGAAACCATGTGAAGTGAGGATCATTTTTCCAATTTTGGTTCAATCTAGAGCATTTGCAAAAGATATTTAACTCGATTTGATCCAAGAGCAACCTTCTTCACACCTCCAAATGAGGGTTATCATGCACCATGTTGAGTTAAACACTTATAGCTCATTCTCTAGATCAAACACTAGGTTCACAAGGCCACAACCATGTCATATGCTACCACTAGATCATTTTAAGCATACAAGCAATAGTGGTACCATACAAGCATCAAATTCATTTGATTTTCATAAATGGGCCTAAGGCATGATAAGAATGACTAGATGCACTAAACAAGTCCTTAGCAATAGATGAATGACATGTCAATCAACTTTACCTTGCTTTGCTCGAAGGAGGTGTAAGGAAAATGGACCCTAGGCCCATTTACTTTGGATTTTGGTGTTTGATGACCAACACAACCAAGTTGGACTAATGAATTTGCAAGTGATTGTTTTGTAGTTCAATAGGGTGCAAGACATGACTTAGACGAAGGCGACATGATGATCCGATGATCAACACCATAAGCAAGACCCTAGGAGCACAAGAGAAGATCCAAGATATCAAGCAAAGTCCAAGCATGAAGATAGGAACCAAGCCGGACACAAGATTGTGAAGATACGAGCTCACAGAGGTGACCGGACACTGGACCAGATGCTGGAAGGCGATTGATCGGATGCTCCGATCAGTGTCTTGACTATAGCAGGTGTCAGCAGCAGCGACCGGATGCTAGACCAAACGCTGGAGGCAAATCGACCGAACATAGAACTGCAGCGTCCGATCGAGTACAGAAAGGTTCAAGAGCGGTGAAATTGCGACCGGACGTGTCCGGTGGCATGTGACCGGACGCTGGCAGCGTCCGATCAGTTGATCGTGGCTCTAACGGTCGGGACGACCGGACACGTCCGGTCAGGACGTGATCAGCGTCCGATCAGTAGCAGAAAAGCAGGATTTCATCCTCAACGGCTACTTTCTCAGTTGAGGCTTATAAATAGACCCCCAACCAGCCATTTGAAGATGAGTGGAGCTGAGGAAACATATCAAGGGTGTTGATACACCATTTTAGTGATATCCACTTGCATAGTGCTTAGTGATTCATTAGGTGATTAGCGTAGGTGCTTTGCGAAGTACTTAGGTTGATTAGACCACCGCTTATTCGCTTGCTCTAAGTTTAGGCTTAGTGTTTAGTGAGGTTTGCATACCTCTTACCACTCGGTGCTTGCGCGCACCATTGTTGTACATTAGAGGGGCTTGTAGTCTTGCGAGATCACACCAACCGCGTTTGTGGTGTGGCCGCCACCGTGTACCAGAGGGAACAAGACCCGCGGCGTTTTGGCCGGAAGCTTGATAGTGAAGATGGTGGAGAGCATCCGGAAGAGGCTTTCTGGAAGGCACGTCGGAGACCCACTTGCGCATGGGGAAGGCCCGAGGCTATCCACGGAGTTATCCGACTAGGAGCTTGGCCCTTGCGAGGGATTCCTTACGAGGGGCTCCAACGAGGACTAGGGAGAAGCTTGCGCGCTTCTCGATACCTCGGTAAAAATACCGGAGTCGTCGGCGGGAGTTTGCATATCTCTACCTTGCTCTTTAGCTTCCGCATTTACATTGATTGTATTACTCCTTTTCGCGGTAGAGATAGCAACACACTAGCAAAACCATAGTTGCACATTTAGATAGGTTATCTATTGCATAGGTTTTGCTAGGGTTAGAAAAAGAGGCCATAGTTTAGAGTTAGAATTTTAAGTTGCCTAATTCACCTCCCCCCTCTTAGGCGTCATGGTCCCCTACAAGTGTATCAGAGCCGGTTGGCTTAATTTGGACCTTTGGCTTAACCGCCGTTGAGCCGACGCCATTTAGAGGGTTTGGGATGGATACCTCTAGGCTTTCCGCAGTTTGACGGCACTAACTTCCCCTATTATAAAACTAGTATGGCTTGCTACCTTGAGGTGGTTGATTTGGGAGTTTGGAGAGTCACTCGTGATGGGATGAAACCCATTAAGAATCCCGATAAACCCACAAAGAGTAAAGAAAAGGAAATACATTTTAATGCTAGAGCTAAAAATTGCTTGTTTGAATCTTTTAGGATGGATGTGTTTAACTAAGTGTTCACTTTAAATACGACATATGAAATTTGGTTAAAACTCCAAGAGCTCCATGACGACACATCTAATGTCCGTGAGCAAAAACATTGTCTAGCTA